AGTTTCTCAGAAGAATCCAATTCCCGGAAGATGAAAGTAATCTACGTAGGTGTCTTATTCTTTGTGAATACAGATATCCCGGTCTCTCTGGAATCTGAAACTTAAATTTAAACTAGAAAAGTTACAAATCTCCTGTCGTCCTGAGCGAAGATTCAGACAATTCAGAGTTCAGACATTTCTGAACAAAATTCCAAGTTTCATAGCGGCCATAGAGCACGAATGCAAATAAAAAGAGTTGTGCAAACGGAACATAGTCGCCTTTTATGACTCTCGGTAGTCGGCACCAATATAGTCTGGGCAAGGGCACAGTGGAGAAGGGCACAGCAGGTGTGCTTGCTTACATAATCGCACCTTGTCCCCTTACCCTCGTGAAGGTTTCGTTAGATGAGTAATTTAGGTGGAAGTAAACTACATACTACTTGCTAAAATACACTACTACATATTTTTTTCTGTGATAGATGAATATCATGCTGTGTTCAAGTAAGAAGAAAATGTTCAAGTAACTATTTATTACGTGTCATAAAATTGTGCTATTAGTATGGACATTTTCAATAAGTTTGAGTAAAAAAATGATTTTTCGAGGTCTCTCAAAGGAGTTTTATCTTGTTTTACAAAAAAAAAATAAACACACGTTTTTAGCAAAGAGTGGCATATGGCGCTATGCTTTCTTATTAGTGTGCTAACATTTACTAATATTTGAAACTACCCTACTTCTCTCCATTACGGCTTCAGTAAGTAGCTATTCAAACTGTATATTTGGCGATAAGCCCGCTCGAATGCTCCTTCCTTTATTTACATCTTCAGATCACAGGTCCTATATTTGGATAGGACTTTTATGAAAACTCTGACCGTGAAAGACTTTCAGTGTAATATCTGTGTTGTGTGTGTTAACATTCAAAGAGATCCTACACTGCTGTGTCTATGCAAGCAGTTATTAAAAAGAGTTAATTAAAATTAACAAAAAAGTACCCTGATTACATTTCACCATTTCCATTAGCGCTGATTTTGAACCAATACTTCTATTGGTAATAGTGTTTTCTAAAATTGTTTTTTCGGTGGGCATAAGATTTTTACAAAAATATCTATTCTTAAAACAGAAACGGATATTCGTTGACCACTACACATTTATTATAACCGGAGCTTACCAAGACACACGTAGTTCAATTAGTCCAATTGTCACATTCTTATCCTGACCAATATTAGTCTATTTTTCTTCGGTCTGTAACTGGAACCTGGCTTTAACTGTGCTTTAACTAGCAAGGTATACCTACTCAAGGCAATGTATGGAAGTTTCCGTTTAATAACCTACGATCATTTTCCATTCCTTTATTAGGCGATAACAGCTGCTCGGTGGTATTATGCTTAAGTTATGTGCCGAAGGTCTTCCAGACAAACATGTGCAATAGATTCCCATGCTATTATTAATGTCAAAACGATAAAACACTTATAAGATAAGAAGAATTTCCAGCTTTGAAAAGAAGTCGGTAAAAGGTAGGTTCTCTTCAAGAACCGCCAAATAACTAATCAAGTATGATATTTTATGAAGAAAAACATAGTAAACAAACGAAAAACAGGAAAATAAAAGAGAATCGTAAGTTCTTAAAACTCGTCACATTGCCGGGTGAATATTTATTGATATGAGTTTACGTTAGGTGTGCTCGCTAGCGACTGCGTAAAAAAATGACATTAAATGTATGACATATTGTGCCCCTAGCGGCTACTTTCAATAAATAAAATCTTCATACATTTTTCATCTTCATACATCGCTAGCGAGCACACCTAACGTAAACTCATGGTAAGCACACAAGTACGACTTATAAACTCGGTGGCTCTTGTCACACACTCCATAAGTAGGGCTAAGTTGTCTATGTCCCCAAGTGCCTGTGGGAAATTGGAGAGATTAATGAACTGTTAACAGGACATCAGTCCGCGCCGCCACATGGAAGATTTTGGGGACGAAATGATTTATGAAGGTTATTTTCGAGATTTGTTTCAATACGAAAATATTACATTTTCGTACATTTTAGACAGAGAAATGTGATATAGGTTGGTTGTTTATCAAAATATACAGAACAGAGTTCACCGAAGAATATTATAATTATGTTAATCATATTACCAGACCTATTCGAAAATTTTAAAGTCCTTGGCCATTCTGTGGTGTTAAGTAAATGAGTGATTTGTCAGTTACAATCATTAGCTGCGCTCGAATTCTTGAATTATGTAAAGTAAAAAAAATCATATGAATTTATTATGTAGTTTGTTATATATGTTTTAATGGGAAATTAACGTCGTCAGATTGCTCATCTGTTGATTCTCTCACTACAAATAATAATGAAGAGTGTAGACAGCAGAGACAATATAATCATGTCACTATTCAGCATGATACCAACCACATGTTGCATCTGTTGAGAAAGTTCTGAACTCTATTCAATTTGAAGTATTTTTTTTATTTACTGTTACATAATTTGGTACATTTAATTTAGTAAAATTGAGCTAGAATTATTTTAATAAAGTTTCGAGTGGGCGATTGGCTGAAGTCAATCGGTGATGGACGACTTAGGGTTGTCGCTTACACCAATAAAAGTACTTTCTGGAGCTTATGTATAGATTTTTTGTTTATCCAATGAAGGCCGCTGACTAAAAAGGGTCAAATAAGAGTGGAAAGCACACAAAATCAATAGCCTATAATAATAGAGGTTAGGGTAAATGAATAGTGTTTTAAAATAACTGAGACTTTTATAACAGCGGTAAAGACTGGTACAGACAGACATAGCCGCGGAAAATCAGCACTCGTTAAGCTCACTGCGTATTTAAAGAACTTCAGGAAAATACTTTTACTGTAAGCCCTGAGACGTATGTACTATGTACTCGTGTATATCGTTTAATTAAAAGTTGCGTCCATTAGTTTAATCAGAGTGTACGCCATCGTCGCCCGCGGTCACCCGGATCGCTAATTTGATTCTGTACCGAGGCTATTAAATTTATACTCTTTAGTTATTAGCTTTACAATTTTTTTCCATTATCATCATGTTCCAGGGAAAGATGTAATATCAATCATTGTTAGTTAGGGCTGGTTTTTACACTCGAATACATATTCTAAAACATTCGTAATATTTTAGTACATTACAGGGTGACTGAAACTAGACCCGCCCACAGCAAATTCCCCATGTAGAGGAGCGAATTATTGGACCTAACTTTTGGAGCTAAACAGTTGCTGTATGGCGGGTCTAGTTCCAGACACCCTGTATAACTTTGGAAAAACTGTTGTATGTCTTTATACCGCAATCAAGCACACTAAATTGAGCTAGAAGAGACAAATAGTAAACGTAGTTATCACAGTTCCATTCCAATCGAAAGCGTAGCTTTGATAAGGCGCGTCAATGACTCTACGAACGTCGAATGTAAATAAGATAACACTCGGGTCTGTAGTAGACATAACCGGTCTTTGGCATTCATTCAAGCCATTCATTCATCTGAGACAGTGGACGATTTTAATAATTCCAAAAACGTAATTGCTTTTTTTCTTTCAATTAAGTATGGCTTCCGTTTGCATTTATTGCCAGTGACAATCATTTAAGTAAAGTCTTCTACATAATTCGAAACTCAATTAAAACTTAATATTATTTAAAAAAAAAAAGTTTTATTTGTAGGCTAGTAAATAAACCAGTCTCTAGTCTAAAAAAATCAAACAATAAAAATAATTTCAACTGTATAATGGCGTGTCAGGTTACCTTTCTTGTTAAATGCGGGTCGGTTTACTGTTTTCTTCTTCAAACTAATTGAAAATCTTTGTTTAAGCTGGTTTAATATTGTCTACATACAATTTAATCGATAGAATATCTACTATTGAATGACTAAACCTTTAAACGACGATTTCTTTATTTTCTAATGGATGTTGAAGATTTACTACTACAAAGAGTAGTTACAATATTCAAAATAAATTGAGTGCAGTCAAGTCGTCACATAATCTACTTGACTTGACTGTAGGTACTGTCTTAGCGCTTTTAATCCGTAACTTTGAAATAATGAAAAACTTACCCTAAGCTCTTGTAGATAAGATTTTAATTGGACAATTTAACAAAGGAAAATCCGTGGGATACATTATTATAGTCTTAACAGAATCGTAACGAACAGATGATTCAATTTATCGTTGTTCATTTCGACGGACGAATCCAACTGATTTCAGCATCGATATGAATTAATGATGTCGATTTCCGCGTGCCAGTCAACTTCAAAAGTAATTTTAATTACGTTAACGGTATTTACAATAAATAAATATGGAGTAGTTAGTACGTCAGACTGTACTTTTCGTTGTTAAAAATATTGGAAAATAGCATCTATTGTATTGTAACTACGTACTGTAAATACGATTTAGACTACAGTGTTTAACTCGATGTGACATTTGACAGATTAAATATTGCATAACAAAATTAAAAAAAAAAACAGTTTTTTCTTTGAGGCTGCTACTAGGTAAAATAAAAACTGTCATGTCTTTTAACACTTTTTGAAATGACGCACGAATAGTCGTCGTAAATGTAAATACTCAGTACAGTAGAATCTCCGGACTTCGATTATCCGGATATCCGATTATCCGGACTCATTCTTTTGCGGCTCTATTTACCGATTTTGGTCCTGGAACCATCAATACGGCACGGCGCCACCTGTGATACGGCTCAGCGCCGCCACCGTAACACGTTCAGACGTTGTCTTGGTTCATTGTTAAAAGAAATTGATTTACACAATGATCTAAATGATGTATGTAGTTGTTGAACACTTTTGACAATGAAAGTTTATTATTGTTTAATTTTACTTTGAAATCGATTATCCGGAATACCCCCGGTTTTAATTGATCCGAATAATCGGGATTCTACTGTAATTTTATTATCATCAGCTTCTAGCAGTTCACCGGTGGACATATACTTCTCAATACACGCCACCTTACCCTGTCTTCGACTTGTCACTTTCTTGCAAATATAAATATTCCCCTGTCTTTGTTCCAGGAAACAACCAAAGACGTTCGCGTTCGACCACTGTTTCTTCTCTCTGGAGGCAGGGCTGCCCAACTTCGCGTCCCAAAAGACAGTGTTCGAATGTCTGGGACGGGACATCCTGGACAATGCCTTCGAGGGGTACAACGCGTGCATCTTCGCTTATGGACAGACAGGTTAGTTTTTTTAGATAAGTTAAATCAGAATAGGCAGATATAATAAATGAAGGTGTTAGGGACAGACAGATTTGTTAAAGTTTTGCCAGCTCTATACTTATTATTATTCTGTGGCTCTATGCATATTGTGAAGCGAAATTACTTAACCTATTGCCATGGCAACAAATGGTCACTAATCAAACGTCAATGTCAATCTTTTAGAGGAGTCAAAATTAATTAACTTTTCAGTCAGTCATTAGAGCAGTTGGCCGGTAAGCGAAAGGTCGGAAGTTTGAATCCCACCTATAACAGTAGCTTTTTACCTAGTGTAAATCTTTTAAAAAGCGACCATAATAACAGATTAAATGTAAATAAAAAGAAACCAGGAAGTGATAAAAACAGTATTTTCTCAATTACGCATTCATTAGTATTTTAATGAATGACCGATAAGAATAAATTGAACCATTATTGTCAGCGAACCTAACTTACATTATGACAATGGGCACTTTAGTATAATTGGCCATTCCTTTTAGAGCCATTGATAGCAAAAAAATCTCTATTATCAGACAAATCGAATTGAACCTTAACAGAAAAATTCCATTATCTGTTTTAATTACAGCTAAAATTACTAATGAAATTCAATTATATTATCTCTCGTGCTCCCCGCACTGGAATCTCCGGCCACTTCAATTCCAGGCATTAATATTTCCAATAAATTCCCGAAGGATTCCTAGAAATGATCGGAGATGAGCAACCACTGAGCTCGGCTCGGCTGGGTTAGCTGTCGTGACTTAATTTATTATTATATTACGAGTAAGTAGTAATTGTGCTGATCATTACTTATTTTGATCTTATTCCCCACTTCTTTACTTTTTAAAATTATCATTCACTATGTTTATTTTCATTTCTTACTGCTAGCAAAACTACTCGTACGTCATTAAGTGAAGTACATAATTCATATTCGATACGGTTTCTACAAACTGCTTTGTAGAAGTTCATTATGTCATTAAATGTGATTATAATCATGTTTCAAATGGTTTCTACAATGTTCTTGTATTAGTTCTGCAGATGAATGAAAGGGGAAAATCATAATATATTTTCGATATTCTGTAAGAAAAGATAGCTAATCTTTTCTTACAAAAGAGATCAAAGTGCACAAGTGGAGTTTTGGGCTGACACTGTGTAGGTTTGTTGTCGACACGAAAAGAAGAAGAAAGTGCACACATAGTTATGATTGTATTATTAGGACCATTCTCGTAAACATTAATTTTCTGCTTCAATTGTGACATTAATATCCCAGATGTGGCAAAGTTTTTCTACCGGTTTTATACCGTATTAGCCACAGTTGAGAGGGATAACTGTTCCCGGTGATCCCCCTCCTGTTTGTCAGTTTTCGCAAATATTATCACAAGCCAGATTGCAAGTTTTTGATGTCTAGGCTAGCCGGTGCAACGCCCTGGCAATGGACCGGCATATCAGATGCAGCCAGGGTTGCCATAATAATGTGTCCGGGTTTACCCGGATTAGGTTTAGTTTGACCAGACATTCATTTACTCTGTATTAATTTCACTGTAACAAATTCCACCTTATGTTTATATGAACAACATTATTATTATTTTTTAATTGTATTAGATTTTATAACTTTTGGCGTCTAGGTTTAGCGACGTAAGTTTTGACGATGGCAACCCTACATGTTTGGCAGAGAAAACAGTCTGATCTGTTTGCTTTGTGCAATAAATGGTTAGATGGAGAGGTTTTAGACTTTGTATTTTATAATTCTACTCGCATGCAGGAGTTAGGTCATTTGATTATGTCATTACACTCATAGTTGTCTCACATTTTATATTCTTAACAATGCTGTTGCATAATTTTAAGTGGTTTACTGAGATTAAAGAATTGGGCACAAATTGGTATAACGAGATGATGAAATACAGGACCAGTGTTAGATAGAGATTTGTCCCGTAAATATGATAACCAATAATATTCGTCTACAGATACTTATATGAAATCAAAAGGAAATTGGTTACAACATTAAAAATTCTAGTCTGGTGTAGCATCTCGGTGCAATGCCCTTGCTATGGCCGGTCGTCGGCAATATACATAAAACGGCATTACTGTAGGTGCTATTTTTTTTTTTTTTTTTTTTTTTTCGTATACATAATACATACCGTATACATACGTAAGTGCTATCTCGCAGTAACATCCTTGAAACATCTGTGACAGTTACCATCTACAACTTTTACATAGCACATAGCAGTTACAAGAACGGTTTTGTGGAATGTACCTACATGTGTCATAAATGTACCCAGCTGTCAAAAAGGCACGGTTTTTTGCAGAAGGAAAATATAAAAATAATTTAATCAGAAACAAAATGTGGGAAGGGTAAGGGATCGCAGCATAAAATTCCGTGTACTTGTACTAACCCGCAACGTATTTTCTACAACGCAATCGTAACGGACTCGTGTTTTTTCTGTATCGTGGTTTTGTATATGAATCTGAGCCCACTGTGTGTGTGTTTTTCCTTGCAACGAACATTTTTCAAGATGCTGGCATTATTTAGTAAATAATGAGTATTTTGGATTTGACAAAAGCACAGCACCCAAAATAGCCGTCCTTGCTTGCTTGCTAAAAATGTGTTGGCTATAGTGAGCAATAATATCATTTGTTACGGCAATATCAACACATACGGCACTAGTTTCAGTATGATAATGATAAAATATGTTTACATCGATCTGTAAGCAAGTATTTCCTGAAACGAAAAAGCCCGGGTTGATATTTTAGATTACGCTACAATACTGGGAAAATTTACAGTTACAAATTGATAACATTTTGTGACATACCCAATTCCACGCCATCGTTAGCTCGCTATTATTTGTATTTCAACTAAACCAGACCAAAACAAATTAAACTTCCTAAACAAGACAAAACGCTTATTTAGGCCTATTGTGCCTATTCCATTCACAATATTCATCAACTGGGCACCAATAAAGCGAACATTTCCACTGTTTGAATCCGTGGAGCGTTGTTTATGTTTTAAACTAACCATTCAACTGCGGAGAGTTATGCCCGGGCGCCCACTTCGTCTAGTGTAGGGTGACCATTAACGTGGAATAAATCTCGGACAGTTAAATAACTTTTTGAACTAGCCGTGGTTGCAATTTCGTACGCGTGGAAACCGTTACAAGCTAGGTATAGGTAGGATGTATGCCTCAATTAGTTAGGTATGTTCACAGGTCTTTTTAATACGATTTTATACAGAATTTTAGCCCATTTTTTATTTTTTTTTTATTTGGCCTGTTTCAAAGGCAATAAGTAACGTGTACTACGTGTAGTAATAGTTGAACAATTCGGCTTATTTTGCATGCATTTTCAGGTCTTTTTATTCGAATATCTAACTGGTAATCTCCCGCTTGTCGTCTAATATCATATTATTATTATAAACAGACTAAGAGCGTATAATGACTTAATTCCGGTGCATTGATTAATAAACATGATAACACAATTTCTCCTAGCAAAAATAGTTTCAAGACAGTCTCGGAAAACTGCGGACGTGTGGACGCCTTATCGTTTCATGTAATTTTAATCTTGTTTATTGCTGTCCGCTGGGAAAAATATTCCTTCGTTTGCTGTCGCAGTGTAAGCTAAATGAGCCCAATATTTCTTGCTAGACGTTATTTCGGAGATTTCTATGTTTTTATTAATTATTACACGTAAACACAGGCCTGGGGATTTTTCAGGAGAAGTCCCTGGAGGCGTATTAAATTCAAATAGTTTTTTTAAATGCATTAAGTCTTACCAATGTTGTCAACTTAGTCGCACAACAAGAGAAACAGAAGAAGAAAAATATCTTTCACTCACGCGCCAATAATTTTCTAAAGACAGTTATTTATTAAAATTCTAACGACTATTAAAAACTTGGCAGCTTTTTCTATCCAAAAGGTGTTCTCTAAGTTTTAAAAACATGATGAAAAATTTAATGATTGTAAAGTATCATATTATTTTATGGTAAGCAACTTCATCATATTGCAACTTGAACTAAATATTAGGAACGATCTGGATGACAATGAATACATACATTAGATATATGTATACGTTCAATGTAAAAAAAATATACTAAACAATAACGCAAGATCACGATTTCGGGCATGATTTATCATCAAATCGCAAATGGACATGTCACAACATGGCCATAGAATGTACCTATAGCATCTCTATTGTGTTGTGTACATTGTGTTGAGTGACCCTCTGCCAATCGCGGCATTGAATTCGCTTTAAATACAAAAAAGTTCCTGTACATAAGACAAAAGTATTCGAGAAGTATACCGATACCCCGATTCAATTGCTCGGAATGTAGTATACTCGTAAAAGTCCGACACAGTGTTGAACTTAATGTGCGAGCAACTGTACGACACGGGAGCGTGTGTATCGAATCGGCAATGGACAGGTGGGACAATCGAAATATCTATTTCGTACAGACGACAGAATATGAAGCAGAACACTGTAACATCTTATGGAGTTGTAATAGAGGCGATTTTGCAAAAGAAAGGCGTGTTCTGTCGCTCTTTTAGAACGTGTTTTATAAATAAAAAGAAAACTCGTAGGTGCGCCTAGGGTTGCCAGGTCCAACATAAAAGCCAGACTCAGTGCTTAATTTGGCCGGACATTTTACCCTAAAAGCCGGACACACCTTTTAGCAATGTTACGCAATGCAATTAGTATCATCATAAGTCATGAGTGAGTACCTACTATCATCTATCATCTTCGAATCCATAGACCTATTCTGTGGCTCGACTTTCGGGTGGCGCGGCAGCCACATAAAAAGCCTCACAAAAGCCGGACAGGCCGGACAAGTCCGTAAAAAGCCACATGTCCAGGTTTAGTCGGACACTTAGCAACCCTAGGTGCGCCCCCAGACATGATCCGCACATAAATAGCGCCGCGACAGGAAACAATTTTGTTATTTACAATAAACAAGTGAAAGTATACGTACTCGTATTTTATGCGAAGGAAAGTGAAGCGAT